ACATACTACTGTTTTCATGTTCTACCACCTGCTCCTTTGTAATCTTTGCTCCATTCACACAGATAACCCACAACCCCCTCAACATGGTTCACTCTCAGATCTGCTCTTTGCTATTCTTAAAATGTTTTATATTTTTTTTGCCCAAGATTCATTAAATATTGCCTCTCTTCTGATTCCTTTTTCCATTTTATTCATACAAACTTTGTCAATCTCTGGGATTCCACTGTAGTTTTCATATGCCTTCCCACATGTTATGAACTGAATTGTGTTCCTCAAAATTTAGAACTAATTCAATGTGATTGGTGTCTTTATAAGAGGAAGAGATACCCGGGATGCACATGCACTGAGGAAAGGCTATGTGAGGACGTAGTGAGAAAATGGCTATTGATAGCCAAGGAGAGAGGCCTCAGGAAAAACCAAAGCTACTGACAACTTGACCTTGGAGTTCTGGCCTCCAGAACTGGGAAGAAAATAAATTTCTGTTGTTTAAGCCACTCAGTCTGTCGTATTTTGTTATGGCAGCCCTACAAGTCTAACAGACCACATTATGTTGTATTTATGTGCAGCTACCTCTTTTCAAGTAGACCACGAATTATAAAAGGTCATAAAACTATTCCTAGTTTGTCTTTCTAGTGTCTGGTGTAATATCTATATATACTGGGTCTGTAATAAAATTTTGCTGAATAAATTAATAAATTCCTAAAATCACAACTGTATATATTCCCCCATTGTCTTTACACTCTATTCATTTATCTTCAAGATTTAACAACATTTCTCTCTAGGCCTTTGCTCTAACTGGAGTTTGAGTAACAAATTTCTACCTGCCTTCTGCTCATCGGCTGTCACAACTTCACTTCAAATTGAACTGATTCATTAATCACTTAACATATTTGCCTCTACAAACTAACTTCGCTTAATTCCTGTCTCCTTATACCTAAGTTTGAAGTCTTAGTTTCATTTCACACATCTGTCTCCTCCATCCCCCAGGTGGTAGTGTTTCCCCAAAATGTCTCTCCAAAGTGTATACTTCCTCTTTTTTCTTAGTACTTCTCTCAAATCAGCTCTTGTGTATGCGTACTATAGCAATGACCATTTATTTAAGCTTTGTTTTGTTTCTTCTCTTTTCAGATCTTTTAAGACATCAATTTTTATTTTATCACTTACATATTCAGGTATATAAAATATCATGGCCCATTAAAAAATACTTACCAGTTGATCTTAAAAGAGAACTGGAGAGGAAGTGAGACTAATTTGTGAAGAGTAATTAAAAGTTAAGATTAAGGATGGAGGGATATGAATTAATAAACAGGAAAAAAACATATACAAAAAAATGACAAAAGGATGGAGGTATCAAAGTAATTGTCACATTTACGAGTCACAACTACAAATCAACAAGACGCAGACTCTGTATTCAGCCACTTTTCAATTGTCTGGAAATTGGCTACCATGTTGGGGATCATCTCCTGTGCCCTCTTCTAAACACCAATCAATTTCCAGTAAGTTCACCATTTTGTTTTTCACACAATAACAGGACTAGAGGCAGCAACTGCATTAAACAAAGAGCGCACATCTCAGGAAATGTTACGGAGGTTTGTTTTCACCATCAGCCAATAAAGATCTTTTAGGGATTATCTCTGAATTCCATTTATTAGGGGAACATGTAACTTGGTATAATAATGAAGTAATAGTAAATATTTATACCAAGATG